AGAGTTATGATCAATTAGTGAGTCATAAAATTAATCTGGTTTGCCTACAGCATAAAAAAAAATATATAAAAAATAGACTACATACAGCACATCACACATATCCTTAATGTGGAATGAACAGTACAATAAATAATGCAGCCAATTAAGACTATTATGTGAGAGGAATAAAATGTAAATTGGCCAGAAATAGGTATTTGGTTTACTGATATCTCATTTGATCTTCTGATACATAATGGTCAATTTGACCTATGATTGATGGAGTTACTTTTTAGTAACGTTACAGTGTTATAACGCAAAGTATGTGAGAAGTTTATCATCTATTGGCAAAGTGATATTCTTTTAACCAAGTTTAGTTACAAACTTTCAGTGTTTTTTCCAGAAAGAATGTTATTGAGTATAACATTTTTCAAATTTTCAGCTATTATAATATTTTAACTGAGTTAGTACAAGCTGCCTATAAAACGAATCATTTTACACTTAGAAGAAAAAAAGAATAATGAAGTAAAACCTATAGAGGCAAGCTCAACTACCAGATTTGGAAGTGCTAAAGTGGCAAAATTGAGAAAAAATGTTGACTCCATTCAGTAATCTTTGACTTGAGCCAAGTTTTAAATAGGAAATAATTATAAGACTTTAATATAAACTTGATTTAAAAATGGTTTTATAAATATGCAAAACAATAAAAATGACAGATCCCAGATGTATTGTTAGTAATATTCTTATAGATGATAGCTTAAAACCTTCAAAATTAAAAAGCAAACGAAAACTTAGAACACCCCTACCAGAATGGCTAAAGTGAAAAAGATGGAAAATACCAAGTATTGGTAAGGATGTGGAACAAATGGAATGCTGATAACAGTATCATCATATATCTGTTTTAGGTCATATATGCAAGACAAGGCAGTTTCATAGAGGATTTATTTCATACAGCTTAAATGTAACTTCACATAAAACTGAATCAGATATATTTACACATTATAAAAATGCATTATTGCTCAATATAAATTAAACTAGATAAACTGTAAAGAAATTTAAAGATGGACAAATTTCTAGGAACACAGAAATTGCCAAAACTGACTCAAGAAGAAATAGATTAGAACAGACCTATGACAAGAGATTCAATCAGTAATCAAAAATCTCCTAACAAAGAAAAGTTCAGGACCAGATAGCTTCATTGGTGAATTCTACCAAACATTTCAAGAATTAACACCAATCCTTTTCAAGCTTCTAAAAAATGGAAGAAAAGGTGTTATGGGTTACATATGTCTCCCCAAAGCACATATATTGGAAACTTTACC